ATTTGGCGTTTGAGGAATTTGCGTGCGCCGTCGTACCCGTTGCCTGCTGGTATGGCTTTCCTGGCACTAATGATGGATAACGACCTCGACGACATCCAGTGGTCTTGTGGTCGAATTGGAGAAGTCAGGCAAGCAGCACCGAACGCCGCTAGTATATCTGCTTTCAAATTTTGCCACGCTTCATTCACATGTTCACTGCCACGACAGTGCTGTTTTACTGTGGAGTTGATGGGCTAGCTCAGATTGATACTGTTGAGCTATGGCAGTTTTTCGAAGATAGTGGATTGGCATGCTTTTTGCCGACTTGCGAGGGCCTGAAGGGAAACGAACTGTTAGGCGTGCGTGCACCGTGGCGTGATCGGACTCAAGTGGTGTGCCCCAGAAAGAACGGCAATCTTGAATTGTGGCTCTCCACCGGTGACTGGTGGCCACGTGGTCCAACTGGGTCCACGGTTGATTTGTAGTTGGCGGCCACCAGGTTACGCGGTGCGAACGTTTATGTTGAAAGTTTGTACTTGCCAGAAACAGTTCGTGATCAGCACACAACTAAAGGAGTCGATCTCTGTTGTCTGAGCGGCAAGCATCGACTCGGAATCGACCACACAAATGTGATTCCGAGGAGCTCAGACGACCTACTGAGCATTCGAATCGCCTGCGCGGATCACAGTGTCAAAGCTTTTTGGCTGACGGATGAGCCCGGATAGCTCTCGATAGAAAGTAGCCTTCTCCGCATCAGAACTGCAGTACGTTGGGGCACAAAACGACACGACAAACAGGCACCGCTTTTCATGCCGCGAGACACTGAGCTTGATTGAACTGGATAGCCGGACGGCGCAGAGGCTAGCACCGCTTTTTATGCCGCGAGGCATTGAGCTTGATTGAACTGGATAACCGGACGATGCAGAGACGACTGTTTACTGGGATCCAATCCAGCAAAGCGCGTTCAGCTCTGGGACTGAGTGCAACTCCCACGCCATATATTCCACTAGTCTGGGTCACCGGACACACGGAGGGAGAAATGTGAAGCAGCTGAGTTCATCCTTGGCGTTCTGAGATGCAGAATCACGTTGGGTCTTGTATGTGTGTTTTGGAGACACAGCATGCATCAATTTTAAGGGAGTGCAAGGTTTCAGCAAGCATTGCCTGTTTGCCAATTTGACATAGAGTACGCACGTTAAAAGCGCCTGTATAGAAAGGATCTCGTGGATTTAGGAAGGTGTTATTTTGTTTAATGTTTGCAGGCAGCGAGAAGCATAAGGCCCTCCGGTCAGATGACTGACAGTCAAATGGCCCAGCGACGTTTGCTTGTGCGGTGGGAAGGGGTTGGGGAGGGACATCGGTGGAAGCTGAACTGCGCGGGCAAACGGTACTTCCCGGTTGCCCAGGTCGAGGAAGGGGGTTTGGTTGAGGTACCCCACCTTGAGCCTTTGACTCAAAAATCTGACCCACAAGGCAGTGGGATGACGTAGGGGTTTGTTCGGGGACCCTGACCCTAGCCTCTGACTCAAAAGCCTGACCAACGAGGCAGTGGGAAAATGTAGGGTTTTCTTTGGGGACCCTACCCGGAGCCGATGACTCAACAGTCTGACCTGCTCGGCTGCAAGGGGTTGGCCTAACCCGAGAGCGCAGGGAATAAGGCATTACTGTCTCATTCCTGATGCGGCTGCGCACACCAGGTGCCTTTTGAGCAGCCCCGGACCCTTTGGTTTTAAAAGTATCTCGACCGTATCGGATAATGCGCCGGCGGTCACGGTCAACCGTTGGGCGATCGGAGTGTGCGGTGTTTGGGGCCGACCTTTTCTAACCCGGGCAGCATCGCTGATTCCATAAATATGGACGTGCTGGTCGCCTGGGGGAAACATCTTACTGCCTTCACACCGCTGTCGCAGAGGATAGTACAACTTTACCCCCAGACCGCCTCGTAGCACGATTACTCGTAGTACGGGGTCTCGCTGCTCTTGGTCTGGCTGCTCCCCTTTGGCCTTCCTGGAATGGTTGCACCTTGTGAAACGAAGTTCCAGCCAGTGTAGCCCGCGGGATCATTGCAGCACTAAAGCCCGACCACCACGTTAAGGTGGCAGCTTTAGGTCGGGAAGAATTGCATGTGATGGACACGTTTATGGCGCACAAATGCTTTTATGTAAATTAGAGCTAGTTTTTTCATAAGAGCATTGCCTGTCTCAATCTCTTTCTTAACAAGTTCTTCGGACCCCTGGGACAAAATTAATTCTAATGATAAATTAAAGAATTAGTCCTGACTTCCTCCGTGTGAAAGGGTTCACTTAGATCTTTAGTTCTTACTGGAATTCGAACACCAACCTGACAGCATCTAAGCCCTCTTGCTTCCTTTGCGTGGCATGGCAGCTACGCATTGAAAGGGTGTCACAACTGGGCGATTTTTAAAAACCTTTAACCTTAAACTTGCCTTCATGGTCATCGTCTATGAAAGTTTTGCAGAAAAATTCCACTTCTCTGGCAGATCTCTTAGAATAAAACATTTTGTTGAGTTTTGGGACGTTGAACAGTGTTCAGAATGTTCTCAATGTAAATAACTACTGGCGGAGGTCCGGATTCTTCTTGGTTGCAGCTGCATATAGTTTCCCGTTTCTCTTGCCATCCGCTCCATTGCCCCACGTTGTGTGCAATCACCAGAGTTTTTTATATCTGAACTCCTGAGTTCTCTATCAGCCTCATTTGCTTTTTCTTCTGTATTTTTTTCGTGTCTTTTTGTTTGCACTTAGAGTTTGTTGGTGTGTTGGAAACATCAATAGCTTTTTTTCTCCTGCTCCAGATCTGCAAACAATTATCAAAAATACTGTCAAGCACAACGTGACTCGGCAGAAAAGCGCGTATTAGAAGTCGTACGACGATGCGGGTTCGGAATGACTGAATGCCTGGCTCGAACTCCTCTGTCTCGATGCTGTCGTGGTTCTGTTCAAACGGACTTGCCACTGATCAGTGATCTTCATTTTATTATGATATGTATCATCTCGAAGGGCTGTATGAAGAAAATGGTGCCATCCGCTGCCGTCCACACGCTGCAAAAATCACGGCATCTTCAAGCATATCATTGGCGTCTCTTGAATACTGGTCCTTTTCTAAAGAACCAAGGCTTTCACCGGACTTTTATAGTCATTTGTTTACTTCCGTCGTAGGTTCTTCGATGTAAAAATGCCACATTCTCTCCTCGGTAGTAAATAGTACATGTCGACTTGTATCACTAATAGATGCTGATTCTGATTTTCAGAGGATAGTTTGTAAATTCCATTTTCCATCGCTTTTCGGTATTCTCTGCCGTAAAAGTGACCAGGTCCATTTTTGGCACCGTTTTGGTTGAAGCTAATGAGGTGCTGTTCATGGTCATGATACTGATTACACAGCCCGAAATGTCTGCTGTGGAGGCCTGTTTCAGGTTTTAGATGCTCTTCTGCATAGGAGTTAGAGTAGCAACATACCTCTTTTCATATGAGCATCGATTTTTCAGTGTAATTTGGCAGTTAAAATTTGTACAATGTTCTGCCGGTTTGTTAAGATTTGGCTGTATTTCTAACTCTCTTAGAGTGGTCTATCTCATTTTATCGCCGTATATCATTTTCTACTTTTAGACGGCTCGAGCTTCAGTGAGCTGGTGTAAATAATAGAAATTCAATGTCCAAAGGCATCATCATCATCATCAGTTTCAGATGTAATAACCGCATACTCGTACAGTGGTTGTAGCTGCCGCATTCCAAAGGCAGTCCATTATGGTCCATCTCGGACGTAAGGAGATACTATGGGCCAGCTCTTTTCTACTTCATCGTCGAGTGAAATAATTCATCTAACTCTATAGTGCCTCATGGTTTTACTAATAACATAAGTCATGAATTAGGCGCGTAAATTGTTGCGAATTCAGTGCTGTTTCAGTAATATGTCTCTTTGTCTCTACGACCCATTCTTATCTTCTTGGTCTCACAAGTTTAGCTAAGGTTATTTCGGTGAGACCCAACCTCACAAGAGATAAAGTTTCGTTCATTAATGAACGGTGAGAAATTCCTCATCTTCCTGGACGCACAACCGGGGGCTCTATCCTCATGTGCAAATCAAAATTACTAGACATACCGCCCAGCATAAAAAATTATTGGAGACTTTGTCTATGTGTATAGCTTTACGGCACTCCATCATCCCACATCAAGCAATTTAGAGTGATTGAGCAAGCAACAACGGCCATCATTCCTTATTTTTTCCCTTATAAGACATCATAATTGGAGAATCAACACCAAGATACTGGGCTCATCCTTCCATCGTCATCTATTTGCAAAATTATAATCTTGCAAATCGCAAATCAAAACAATTAAAATTGATTTGATTTGCGATTTGGAGCAGCAAGTCCATCAGCATCGAAGTTCAACAAATGATTTGTGACCCCAACAGGTTTTTTCCATGATGCAATGCCGTTTTCTGGATTTATGACCTTAGCTGTCGAGGTTGGGTGAATATGTTTGGATCAAAAGTTATATTGACTAATTCATAGTCACGCGCAACCGTCTGAGGCGCTGTTGGTATGGTGCGAACAATTTAAACACTGATGAAGAATTAAAAGTGTGCTAGAATCACTCCAGTACTAAGAATATGAGAAAAAATGAGGCCCAGTTGTACTTAAATAGATTTAAACCATCTGATGGCATAAGGTGAAACTGAAATTAATTGCTTCATCACCAGTTCCCCTTTGATCTCGGGATGATTTCACGGATTCACGGATTGATACACAGGATCGAGGCTTTTGCCAACGTTTCCCAGGTCGGTTTTGCTCTTGTCGGTCAGTGGCTGTCGTTCACCTGAAAGGCACAAGTGAAAAAAGGGTGTAGCACTGCTCTTTATGTTCTCAGCGC